ACATTTGTGAAGGGAAGTTCTTTGTGTTGAAGCTCAAACTGAGCTGAATACATCACCAGTTCGGCTCTCGAAGCGAAGTTATCTAATTAAATGCGTCAGATTTTGCTAAGTGATTATTATTTGGCATAGAGTTGTGACGACGTCGAGGCTGCGGATGCTTGACTCCAATTTGGCAACCGGTCAAGGTGAAAGTTGCGACACCTGCCACCGAGTAGTCTATGGTTATCTCGAAGCAGCAGCTGCGGTGGTGCAACTGCCGCTGGCACTGGCACTGATCACCCAGTCGGCAGCCTCCACAACGAGCCGGTTTAGTTTTGACAAATTAATTGTCTGGCTAAATTGCAATTTGCTTCAGCTGCGCGCACAATTAAGTCGTGCTCTTTCGCCAAATCCTGACGCTTTTGTTGGTTATCAACCGAAATTAATGCATAAATTAGCATGCATTGCGTTACGCTCAAGTGGAAATGGTCATGCCCCGCAGACAGCCGGGCGAGGCAGTGCTTAAGCAAATTAACTTGAGCTTCATTTGCAGTGACATTTGCAGCAAATCAGCAGCAACTGACATACGGGACGAGCAAGTCGTAAGTCGTAAGTTGCAAGCTGCAACTTGCAAGTTGCCGCGACGTTTTTGCTGCCCAATGTTTTCTGCTCCATTGAAGCATTCAATTGTGGGGCGACTTGTGCGCGGACACCAAGCTGGACTGTTGGGCGTAGCCATGCTGTAAAAAGCAAATGATGCCACTCAACTCGTTTTTGTAGAAAGTTGCAGCGTGCCCAAAGCCTCATCTGTCTGCATTTCAAATGCTGTTGCATTGCCCAGTTAACGGTTAGAAAAGAACGGCACCGCCAACAGTCAACAGTCAACGGCAGGCAACAGCCAACACTCAGCATTAACATCGTTTGGTTTTTGGGCGATTGTGCCATTGACTGCGCATAAATAACCAATCATAAGAGCTGACATTTCATGCTGCTTCTTGGTAAGAAGTGCCTAACCGGTTTGCGACTAGCTGTCGATCCATTGATGCCACTTACAGTTACATTTAGCAGGAGCCATAAACAAACTTGTATGGCTAAGAGCCCGAAATTATGGAAAATATATTAGCTCTTAAGTAGCGAGAATTTCGAGAATTCTTTTGAGCCGACTCGAACTCCTAATCATATCAGGTGAAGCACGTTTCTAGCGAGGATTAATAATTCGTGATGTAACTATATTATAGATTATTTAAGTCTATATAAACTGTCTGATTCTTATGCTAATAATTGGGTGCAGCTTAAAGACATGAATGTCATCTCTAAAATAAGCTGTCTTGGAATAGATCTAGATTTATTGGTACATATATGAATTTTGTGAATAAATTCTCCGTATTATATATGAATTTACGGGAATATACAAAAAGTAATAAGCATATGAATAAAAGCTCATACAATCAATCAACTTAATTCAATTAAAATTCACATTTGATAAACAATCGATCAACAGCTTAAATTTTGTATAGATAATAACATCTGCTACGTGCTCGTTCTGCAGCTAATCCCAGATCTGAATGGTTTACAAAAAATCTTATTTATTTATTTATTTATTTATTTATTGTTACCAAAAAATTAATTCTAAGTAACAATTTCTTTAAGCCNTTTACAGTAATTAAGATTTTTGTGATATTCACAAGATATTTGGCAAATACCATGGAGCTCTTTGGAAGCAATGAATTTTTCAGCTACTGTTGCGTTCTCTACGAATAGTAGAAGATTTCCGTCACGCATTTCGTTAATTTTTAATATGTTTTTGCTGATGAGTTTAATTGCACGTTCAACGGCGAAACAGGAGTATGTGGAGATAGGGTTTTTAGTGTCGGTGGCTGACATAATAATGAATTTTGGATTTGGTAAATTAGGAGTTGGGAGTTCTGGGAAAGCTTCTGCAAGTGGTGTCGGTTTTTTTCTTTTGGTTTTGGGGCTATCGCTTAGCATTGCAAAGCGATTCGCCCCTTGGCTATAATGCCCGTTGGGCATAACTGTGTATTTGACTTACTTTATGCTTATATGCTTCTGTGTATATTGAAAGACAAAGAATTAGTGCAAAAATAGAAGATAGGCGCTTGAAAAACTGATAAGCTGTGAACTGAACTCTGCGATAACACAACCGTTCGGTACGAGGTCTAGTCGACGACTGCGACACAAAAAATCTTATTTGAAATTCTGGTTTCAAACAGGTTGGTTTAATAAACTTTGAGTGCAAGTTTTTTGTATTACGAGAATAGCTTTAATCGCACATTAATTATTATTTTTAAGCTTATAGCAAGTCTGTTAGTTTATCAGTTCTTGTTTAAGCTTAAAGATTCGTCTTTATGCAAGTAGCCGGCGTTAACCTTTTACAAAATGCAGTTAAGTGTGAGCGGTCACAATATTCCGTACCGAGCAGCTAACAGCATTGGGGCGTTGGCTTGGCGTGGGCTTGAAACACGGCTTCAATTGCCATGTCATCCCCATCATCATCATTATCATCATCACCAACATCAACATCATTTGCGTCGTCGTGTCGTAGATTCTCTGTCGAATGACAATTTGCAAATGTCTCTGGGCGCATAATTTATGCAGATGCAGTTGTTGTTGTTGCTGCTGCTGCTGCGGCTGCTGCTGCTGCTGCCTTTTTTGATGGGGGCAACTGGAACAACAACTAGTAACTAGCAAGGGGCAACTAGTATCTGGCAACTGGCAACTGGCAACCGGCAACTGGCAACTGACAGCGTTAAGCGTTGGCCATTAAGGCGAACGCCCATGCATATTCAGTGCCATAATCCCAACGGTATTTTAATGCTAAATGCTTACTCACTTCGGTGGTGCAGACAACAGAAACCCGTTTTTCCGGTAATGACCTTCACTGTTTGCTTTATCATCTTGCCCCAACGGCCTCCCCCCACACACACACACACACCCTCTTTCACAACAGCAACTGTGGGCTGGTTCACGTACTTCATTTGGAGCTCTTGAAATTCTGTTGAATCCACAAAAGGTAGCCAAAGTAACTTCCTGAACATGCGACTACAGACAATTTGGAGCTCTTGCTTCTGCCGTGGATAGAAACCAACGTTTGGCGTTAAACTGCCCTATTTCGGAATCTAATTCTAGGTATCATATCCATGTTTGTAGACTGCCCGACTGATACACATCGTGCTGTAGCGTAACAATTTCAAAGTTTACCTACTATAAAGCCCAGGGCTGCACTCGACTGCCATAGAGAGAGAGAGAGAGAAGTGGAGAATGCCTAACAATTAATTAAATATATATGACTGATTTCGATTCCGAATCCAAATCCAGTTCTTACCATATCTCTCGGCACGCTTAGGCAACAGCCCACTGCTCGTGCTGTCGCTCGACTTGCTAATGAACAGATACAGCCGCGGTTCAAGTGCTAAATGGAATGTCTGTTGATTAAACAGCCGTTAGCCGCGCCACCAGGCTCAGCCACCCAACAATTTGACTGAGCAATGCAAAACGCTGCAAACCACTGCTGTCTATGATTAAATTGTGATTGACCTTAAGGCTGATTAAAGCTGAAATGGATTATTTTTAGTGGAAGTTGCCAAAATATCAAAATAACATCAACTAGTATTAATATTAGTATTATTATTAATATAATATCGAAAATAATATATCAATTGAATAGTAATAATATATCAATTGAATAATATATCAATAGAAACTAGTATTATCATTTATATAATATCGAAAATAATTCATTTAATTTTTAAGAAAATTCAAATTAATCCAATTAAATAAATAGATCAATTTAATGACGGCACTCCCTCATTCAAGAAATTTTTTATAATTTTCAACTGTTAAATAATATAAATAATTTATTTAATTTATATTAAAATCTCTCTCAATATTAAATCAAGTATTGCAACATTATAGAATGTATAATAAATATAATCGAATATACAATATCATAAATATAATATATTATACGTTTAAATGAACTAGGAAGTTTAAGCATATTTTTTCTAGCTTGCCAATTAAAGGTTTATAGATTTTATAGAGTTAATAAATGTAAATTTGAGATACAAGCATTCAAGTTCAAATTCAAGTTATTGATTTCGATTACACTCAGATACACACCACGCTCCTTAAGCTTATATTAATTACATTTATTCTCTAGAACTTCATGCTAATTTGTGGGATTGCAAAATTGATCTATTCTGTTTATGACAATTAATTACTGGCTGGATTTATTCAGTATATGACAATTAATAACTGGCTGGCAAACCAATAAGAATTAGATTTAAACAAGCACTTGAAGCGGAGTAGTTGGTTCGACGGGTCACTAGAACGAGTGTGCGCCATGGCCAACTATTAAAAGTGGTAAAAGCAAAAACCACTTGTGGCTTGGCATGTTAGCCTTGATAAAAGCTTCTACTTTTTGTCAGCACCAAGCCAAGTGTTCAAGTGCATAAACTGGCTGCAACTTGGTCAACAACTCGAGAGTATGACAATAAAAAATGTTCAGCTCAGGCGGCTCGATTACAGCTTGCTGTGACGACGACACTGATACTCTCTGGTGTCGATTAAATGTGCCCAAATGCCAAAATGTATATATCTTTATATAAATATACATATATACGTATGTATACATGCATGTGCTGGGCATGACTTGAGTTGACTTGGCTGAGACGCAGAGTCGAGCCGTAAGAAACAGCTGGTTGCATGCCAGGACGGGTATTGCCAATGGGAGGCACGAAACACGAGCGCAACGTGCATCGAATTCGGGTCATTTCTTGTATTTGGCCAGCCGAGCCAATGGGCCAGCCTTGGCGCCGTTCAGTTGCGGGCGGGTGGACGGACGGACGGCTTTAACATTTGGTAATTCGATTTCAGGCAATGTGCGCTGGCCAAAAATTGCATGTGCCCCAAGGGTATTGAACTGTGCCGAGTGTAGCTGTAGTTGTAATTGTTTTTGACAATCATCAAATTAATGTTTATTATGCATTGCTTCATCTTTGCAGGCAAACGAAACGATCAACCTAGACGAGCTGCAAACGTGCCAGGAACACAAGCCAAGCAGGTGAGACAAACACTTTTCCATTAGGCTTCACAGTATTCCCAGAGAATGCATGGAAATGCGTAAGCAAGAAATGAATCTTGGCATGCAACTTGGCCGCCAGACACGCCTCCAACACCCATGGTTCTCTGTAACTAGCCTCAAAGTAAATGTGCATACACATATATATATATACATATGTATACATGTAATTGAAGGCAAACTGCAATTGCCACTGCAAATGCAACGGCAACGGCAACGACTGCAGCAACAGCAACTGCAATGGCAATTGCAAGTCCAATTGAAGACCTGCCAGACGCCTTCATGTAAAACACTTGTAATCCGAGGCGACTGCCGCTAACAATGTGTTGTGCCGCTGCCAGGTAAGAAGTGAAAGGAGGGGGCGTTTTGGTGCCTGGGAGCCCCATGTCGCAACACCGGGAAGCACTGCCAACCACAATTACAATTGCCATCGACTGCAAATGGCATGCAAACCCTACAATAACACAACTTGCCAATTGCCGATGTCTTTCAGCAGCTGCAACATCGTTAGCAGCATATTTAATTAAACACCAGCATAATTGGCCCCACATTAAACAATGTGAGCGGCCCATTAGCCCATGAACTACAGAGCCAGCCAGACATTAACTTTAATTTTGATTTCAATTTACAATGCTTGGCACGATAAACTCTATGATTGTTGACAGTTTTTGAAATATTTATAATCGATTTCCAATGTTTTTTTTCTATGTTGCATAAGAAACGAATTTAAGCTTGTTTCTGGCAGTTAAGATTTAATAATTAAAATCTTTACATTACATATCTCTTATAAAGAATTTTAATTGTTAATTCAATTATTTAAAAACCAAGCCGCCTCCTTTCCTCGCTTTTATAAAAACATAAAAAAAATGTTTGAATGAAACGCCTACCACTTTATAATTGTTTTAATATTTTGGCATTTCTTTCTCCCACTCACATTACAAATGTGAACACAAACAAACACTTAAGTCGGCAGACAATTGAATAGATTTTCAGTTAAAAAAAAAAAAAGAAAGAAAAAAACAAAGAGCGAGCAACAAAAGCAAAAGGCAGCTGCATCGAAACGTTTAGTCTGAGAGATTTGCTTTGAAATAAATGACAACAACAATAAAAACTTTCCATTTCTAACAAAATTACACTCCAAGTCAAACAAAGCAAGACAAATTTATCTCGTTATCCGATTTTCTTCTTCTTCTTGCTGCTGCTGCTGCTGCTTGGCCCCACGAAACTTGAATTTCTGTTGTGTGTGGTAAAAATATATTTGGAGTTTTTCAAGAGTCCCCTCAAATATATATGCTCATTCCACATGCAACACACGTGGCACCATAACAATATATTGCTGCCAGTGGCTAGAACCAATTTGTGGCGGCGCTCATGTGTCGGCGGAACTGGCTATTAATTAATGCCGCGGTTGGTTTTTGGTGGGCAGCAAATTATTGAGTGCTAAATGGTCAAAGTGGCGGCTATTCAAATGACTTGATGCCAGTCAGACATGCAAGCGCTGCTCCTACTCCAACTGTCTGGGCTGCATTCCCTGTGACAAGCTGCAAAATTGCATTCGCTGGCACAAGGGCAAATACTCATCAGCAGCAGCAGCAACAGCAGCATCGGCAGCAACATCAGCAACATCAGCAGTAGCATCTGCCAAACAAGAGCTGTTGACAATGTGTTTAATTTAATGAAGAAAAATGTCACTCACAGTTTATGCCATAAACTGACAGCAGAGGCCCAGCCATTGTTGTTGTCAGCATTAAATGTACATTAAGGCAAATTGCACAAAAAGTATTACGAAAAAAAAAAAGAAAGAAAAGAAACAAAAAACAGCAAGCGAAACAGCAATAAAGCATTTTGCAGTGCGTGTGAAAAGCGACGCGATAAAAAACGCAGCAAAAACGCGCGTGCGCGCACCCAATGCAACAGTTGCGACAGCGCACTGTCAGGATGCAACTGTTGCTGGCGGGTGTTTCCAGTGGCCGTTAGCTAGATAAACAAGCGATAAGCAATATTGCTGCTGCTACTGCTTTAATTGAAACTGTCAATTGAGGTTTCACTAGCTCGCTCTCTCTATCTCTCGCTCTCTCTCTCTCGCTGCGTTCGCCATTTGTGGCGTAGGCGATAGTGAAAGTTGCAAGCGGACATTCGCCAGTTGGCCGCAAAGTACAAATACAGGTAATTAATGCCAATTAAATGTCAAGTAGTTGCAGCCCAACCGCTGTCCTAGGCGTGTTTCATTTTTGCTTTTCTGTATTTTACAAACAGCAACTCAATCGTTGACCGCGCCAACTTTGACTTTCAAATGTTGCACTGATTAATTATGCCACACCGAACTGCACTTCGAGTTTGTTTAACGGCAACGCCAGACGCCAGACGCTAGACGCTTGACGCTGGCAGCTCAATTGATTTCATTTCTCACGACCAAAGTCGCGACGTCAGCTGTCAGGCTCGTGAGTTTCTACTTGACTGGCTTGCCTGCCAGACAGACTCTTCGCCAGTTGCGAGTTAGTTCAATTAAGCGCAGCCAAGCAGCTGGCAACGATTCCACTCACCCCCACATATGCAGCCGGCCTAATGCGTTATGCACTTTCTACAAAGCTCTGAAAAGCGAAAAAAAAAGTAAGAAAAAACAAAAGAAAAGAAAAGTGCAAGTTGCCGGCGGGTCGATGGGCAACAGCAACATCAGCAACTTGCAACTATGCGATTACCGCACAACAAAGTTATTTATGATTATTTAATGCAAAAGCTTGTTGCTGCTGCTGCTGCTGCTGCTGCCTGCAGGTTCATTGCCCAAAACTTGCATTTTCCTTCAGTTGTTGTTTTGCATTTTCCCTGCACTTGCTGACGGCATTCAAATAGCTCCCGGCCAAGCCCGCTGGCTGTCAACGAGCTTCTTCCACAGTCCACGGACCATAATGGCTGCTTTTGTTTGCTATCGCGTCTTGCGTTGAACTTTGAACTTGGCCCGCCTGGCAGCGGCTTACTGGCTTTCTTTTATGGCATTGTCAGCAGCGCCAACAATGAGTGCAGACCAACTGCACACTCATTGTGCGCGAGAGCGCTTGTCCTTGTGCACGCTGCGTATACGTAATATTTAATGTGCTTATTTTGCGAAACCTGTGCTAAATACAATATCGTTGCTACAGCTGCGTCTGTTGTAAGCTAATAATTGCAGAGTAACGCAGAAACAAAGTTTGTAATTAATTGTTATTAAATTGTGCTGTGGCACAGTTTAGCAACAGAAATAATATTGTATTTGTTTTGCCCAAATATCAATTGCAGCCTTCGATTATAGTTTGCTTGTTGTCTCTCGCAATCTATCTGCAAATTGCAATGCTTTTTCGGGCTGCCAAACTGCAAATGCAATGCAAATAATTGTTCAACTCTGACATACAATTACATGGCACATCGCATACAACTACTATAGACATATATATGTATATATATCTACTGCATACTTAATGCAGTCAAACATATTTAGCACAAATATTTCATTCGTTTGCTGGGCCAATGCTTTGGCTGTTATTTTGGCCGCAATTGGCAAATTGTTCTTTTGTGGCATTTTGTGACCTAGTCATGTGCCCAGCTTGGCTTGATGAAACTAGTTCTTGTCTTACACAAACATTTATTTGTACAAAATTACATACTTTCACGGTACATCAAAGCTTAAAGCCATTATCGATTCTATACGTTAGACATAAAGCACAAGAATACCAGATATATTCGAACTTAAGGAGAGGAATACTGATTTTTGTTTGGCTCTGCATTTTTTGCAGGTATATTTATCTTAAGACTAGCAAAGTTGGGAAAATCTTTGTATTTTTATTTTTTTATTGTTTATTAGAGACTTTTAGTTTTATTTGCGCTTCACACAGACGGCTGACAGCGGAGCATGAGTTTAGCTTTTTTGATTGTCGGCTAGTTGTCTTAAATGTTTATTGTATACAAGAATCTAAGGCCGTAAAGAAGCTTCATAAATCTTCAAAAGCGACGAGTGCTAAGTATGCACTGAGTCACACTTAGTCGCTGCTTGGCTGCTATTGTTGTTTAGCTTTTAGTTTATTTAGTTGTTTTTTACTTTTAGTTTTTTTCTGTTTTGCAAACTGTTGGGTGTTCATTATTTATGGTTCTACCTAGTCGAGATTTGAATGTGAACCGGTTGCAAGGCTTTAAAATAGCTGCCAGCTGAGCACAAAGCAAACCATTTCTGAAACTGTGAACTATGCACAATGGCTTAATGTCTCCGGCAGGCGCCCCAGAGCTTCCAGTTCTCTGGCTATAGAAAACCACAATTCGGACCAGGCTCTCTGAGCGTTAATGCAGCTGACAGAAATGTGTGCCGCCGCCGGCTGCTGAACAAACCGCAAAACTACTCGACTCGACTCCAGGCTGACCATGAGTCATGACTGCAACCCCAATTGCAACTGTATTGTCTACGCCAGGCTGCCAGGCGGGCAGTCAGGCAGCTTGACAGCCAACAAATGGTGCATGCAAATTTGTTGCACGTTACAAAACGGAGTCTGTGGACACTCCAATATCTTGAATATCTTTACAAAATATCCCACGCAACAGGTTTGAATACTTTTATTTCCTTTTTGGTTTTCGTGCGGTTTACTTGTGGCCAGCCACAGCTGGTTTTTCTGTGACCCAGCTCAAGCAGAACCCTTGGGGCACAGCAACATATTCTACGCATCATAAACATTTTTTACTGCACATAATTTGGTATCAAGCAAAAACTAAAAAGTCTCTCCCAAAAACTTGACCGACCAACCAAACAGTTGGTGTCTGTGTGTGGCCATAAATTGAAGTTACGATCCTCGTCTTCTGTGTGTGTGCGTTGCCTGTGGGAAACGAAACACGCAGTTGAAATGCGATGCCTGCTTCGAGCAAGTGATACAGTTCGCGCTTCTCTACAAAATACCTTATAAATTGCAGCTTTATGCAATCAAGCAGCCGGTGCAAAGTTCATCTGCTTTATAAACTAATAAAAT